GGTGCTTTCCATCAGGTATTGAAAACACCTGTGGATGTCACCGAGCAGCAATCAAGCATAATAAGCACCAATTAGGCAGCTTTAAAATGACTGTGATACTCAGCTCCTTCTAGACATTTACTGGTGTGGTTACAAACATGGTGAAGGCAAGAGAATGGTCCAGGAAGACAAGAGAAGAGGTGATTTCTCTTCACAGGAAGGGCAATGGCTATAAGAAGATTGCAAAGATGTTAAACATACCAAGAGACACCTTAGGAAGCATCATTCGCAAATTCAAGGCAAAGGGCACTGTTGAAACGCTACCTGGTCGTGGCAGAAAGAAGATGCTGACTTCGACTGCTGTGCGCTACCTGAAGCGTAGAGTGGAGAGAAGTCCCCGTGTGACTGCTGAGGAACTGAGAAAAGATTGTCAGATGTGGGTACAGAAGTTTCAGCCCAGACAATAAGACGCACACTGCGTAATGAAGGCCTCCGTGCCAGAACTCCCAGGCGTACCCCCTTGCTGTCTCCAAAGAATAAGAAGAGTCGACTGCAGTATGCCAAAAGCCATGTGGACAAACCACAAAAGTTGTGGGATAGTGTTCTGTGGACTGATGAAACAAAATTAGAACTGTTTGGGCCCATGGATCAACGCTATGTTTGGAGGAGGAAGAACAAGGCCTATGATGAAAAGAACACCTTGCCTACTTGGAAGCATGGTGGAGGGTCAATCATGCTTTGGGGCTGTTTTGCTTCTGCAGGTACAGGGAAGCTTCAGCGTGTGCAAGGTACCATGAATTCTCTTCAGTACCAGGAGATATTGGATGGAAACGTGATGCAGTCCGTCACACACCTGAGGCTTGGGAGACGTTGGACCTTTCAACAGGACAATGATCCCAAGCATACCTCCAAGTCCACTAGAGCATGGTTGCAGAGAAAGGCTGGAACATTTTGGAGTGGCCATCGCAGTCACCAGACTTAAATCCGATTGAGAAACCTCTGGTGGGACTTAAAGAAAGCAGTTGCAGTGCGCAAGCCTAAGAATGTGACTGAACTGGAGGCCTTTGCCCATGAAGAATGGGCGAAGATACCCGTAATCGCTGCAAGACACTTGTGTCAAGCTATGCTTCACGTTTAAAAGCTGTTATAACTGTAAAAGGATGCTGTACTAAGTACTAAGATTGAATGTCACTTGGGGTTGAATAAAACTGATAATGCTGTGAGCACAGAAAAGACATTTGTGGTTATTTCATTATAACTGTTATGTTTATATTTGTCTGACCTACAAGTGCCTCTCTTTAATGTAAATGTAAGCAAGATGACTGAATGATCAAAAGCAATGTCAAACTGGCCAAAACACTCAATTTCAGTGGGGGTTGAATAATTTTGGTCACAACTGTAGTTAATGAAAGCAAGCTAGAGTTTTAAAGATGTTTCTTTATATCCTGAAGACGGTCAGCTTTGGCAATATATGTATAATGAATGTTTACAGGCCAATATTCAGATAGATAAATCTAGATTTACTGTGCACAGACAGCGTAAAAATATATCTAACATCTTAAATTTTGTAAGAATATTCAACAAAATGATTTTGAATGTTGATTTATCTGTTAAAAAAGATTGTACATTAAAACAGACAGAATGTAGTACTGTACAGAATACAGAAATGCATGAAAATTTGTCTCAAGATGCTCTTAGTTGCCCAAACTGTGACATTTTTTGTAATTACATAGAGAATCTTGAGGAACAAATTGAATCAAAGACAAATCTTTTGTTAAGACTGCAGAATGACAGTAAACAGGTTGCCATGATAAACACAGATGACAAACAGAGTGATTCAAGATCAGAGCAACGGCTGTCCGATATCTCTGAAAGTTCGGATATTGACTCTGATGACGAAACACAAATTAAACATAAAGAATTTTATGTAAAACTGCAAAACTTAAGTTGCAAATACATAATCAATCATTAAAAGTTTTAAAAGACATCCCTGCTTATGATTCAGATAAAGATATTTACAGCAACATGAAAATGTATGAAATGCATGTCAAATGCCATCAGCTTTCAAATCATGACATAAATTATTTATTTCCGTTATGGCTACCAATTAAATTTATGTCTCGAATTAAAAATTCTGTTGTTAACAATAAATATCAGAAAAAACATAGTGACGCGACAGACAGACTGCGACAATTGCTGTTATGTTCAACAGGTGAAGACGTACCTTCTGTAGAAAATGCTAGACTTACTTCAGACTACTGCTGACGAAGACCCTTTGGAGTTTAAAAATAAGTTTTCCAAAGCATATAAAATTATATTTGGAGTAGAAAAATGAGGAAGACTCAGCTATGATCAAAGCTTTTGTAAAGAAATTCAAGTATTTTGATCCAGTGACAGTTGTCATAGCAGAGCAAAAACGAAATCTGAATGACATAGTAAGTTTCATTGACAAAATCCGAAGAAAATTGAAAAATAGCAATCTCACTTACGAGGTAGCTGTGATTCAAAGTGACAAAAATAGACAGCAGTTATGCCAGGTACCACAAGTCCCAGTAAGAATGACAACGACAGATGCAAGCAAGTGAGTCATAAAGAGTATACCACATGCTTTCACTGTCATAAACAAGGTCATATTAGACGGCATTGTTTGGAAGTTTAAAATTGACTCACAAATAAAGAAAATGGAAATAAAAAGTGAAAAAGCAGCTTTTGTACAACCTGCTTTGTTGTGTAAAGATAAAGGTTTAACTGAATTGCCTTATGCCTCATCAGTTAAACAAATTCATAACTTGACTAGCAATAACTGTTCAGACAGTATGGTGAGAAGGGCTGTCACTGACACAAATGGTTTTATTTACCAGTTCCAAAAATAGAATCACGTCCACATTCATCCCCAATATCGTTAGAATTTGTCGCTCCAATTGGATGAAAATGGAAGACCATTTATACAAGGTTTACTAAATGGTAAAAAAGATCAAATTTCTGATTGACAGTGGATCTGAGATTAGTCTTACCAGAGAAAATGTACCTGTGAAACCAAATTCACCCATGTGTAATATAAAAGGTTTTAATAATACAGGTCATTCCACTGCTAGGCAGGTGCCTAATGTAACATTTGAAGCACCTGGGCTAGTGAAAACTAACATTGATATTTGGTATAGTAATGCCACCGAAAATATTCTTGGCATTGATTTTATCAATAAGCAAAAGTGGATCATTGATATTATGACCAAAGTTATTTGGAGGAATCCATCTAGGCCCAAATCAATGTCAATGGATCCTTCTATATACAGTGATGTTGGTTTCAACTCTAAAATGTCTACAGCACAAAAATGGCCTGATACTGATGGTAACTGTGCTTTAAAAGAATTGGTACAACGTTTTTCAAGTTTGTGGTCAACATTTAAAAATGACATAGGAACTTTGAAAGATACAGAATTGAATATTGAGGGAAAAGATCCTATACCCCTTAATCAGTATGAGTTGCCACAAGAATCAATAGGACCACTTTTTGCCACTATTCAAGAGTTTGTACAACTTGGCATTTTAAAGAAAACACAATCAGTGGTAAAAAACTGTATTTGACCTACCAAAAAGCTGACAATTCATATTCTTTGTCAGTTGACTTCAGGACACTGAATAAACATATCACAAATAACAAAGCAGTTGTTTCCTGATCATTCTAATATCAAGTTACATTTAAAGGCCGAATCCAAAGTGTTTTCTGTTTTGGAAATCGATAACAGTCATTTTTTCGATCCCCTTAGCTATAAGTTGTCAATACAAGCTAGCTTTCAAGTTCCAGAAAGAGACTTATGCATTCACTCGATTAGTAGCTGGTTTATCAAAAATTCTATCAGCATTTTCAAGGCCAGAATGCATTTTTCAGCATGTAAATACAATTATGCTAAGTACGCAGAATGTTAACGAACATATTACTCTTTTGTCTGAGTTATTTATGTTGTTACAGGATGCAGGCCTAAAATTAAACCCGAAAAGAGTTCAGCTGATGAAAAGTCAGGTGAAATGCTTTCCAATGCAGATTAGTCAAGGAAAGAGACAATTATTGCAAGAAACTGTCAGAGCTATCACTGCCATTCCAGTTCCTACAACTCATAAAGCATTGCAACAATTTTTTGAAAAACATAAATCATTGCAAAGAGTTTACACATGGTTTTGCAGAGAAAGTTAAGCCATTATATCATCTTTTGAAGAGTAAAATAACTTAGTTGACCAATGGGGGTTCCAAAATGAGAATAATGCTTTAAAAGTGTTGAAAAAGGATTGCAGAATGCGCCAGCATTAGGTACAATTGAGGTTTGTTCCAATGCTCCTTTTTGTTGTGAAAACACATGTATCTGATAATGCAATTTCAGTAACTTTGTCTCAATTAAAAAGAAGGTAATGAGAGACTAATTAGTTACTTTTTTCCAGAAATGTATCACCATTGGAAAAAACTTTTTATATCAGAGGTACAACAACTGCTGAGTTTCTTTTATGCAATCAAAACATCAGAAAGCACAGTAAAGTCACATAGTATCATATTACAGTCTCCTGACAGTTCACTAAGAAGAAATTCTTGAGGAAGATACATTCAGAGAATGTCGTGAAAGGTATCCTCAGTGGATAAGAGCACTGTTAGCCAAACACATTGTGATAGGAAACAGCTGTATCAGACAAGTCTCTACCTCACATTCACAGCAAAACATGTATTACTGAAAAAACACTCTAACACCAGAATAATGACATCCAGCACAGAAAACAGGTACGCATATTTCTAATTTTTATCGGGATGAGAACAAAGGCATCTCTGGGGTGATACAAAACCTTTCTTTGTTTAGTAAAACGGGGTTTTGCGGTCATGACTAGAGATGAGCGAAGTATTCAAAAATATTGCGATTCAACTGATTCGGGTACGGCGAATTCGTGGAAAATAATTTCGATTCGAGTCGAATATATTCGCTGTGAATTTAACTTAAAAAAAGGGTTGTTTACTTCTTTCTTAGGCTTCAGAAGAGACTTAATATTAGTGCAGAACACTGTACCTTTAATTTAAATGCCCTTGGAGTCTGCTGGGGAAGAGAAATAATACTGTCAGTCAGTATGACATGCAGATGAGTGCCGTCGATCTTAGAATCACCGCACACTTCACACATTTGGGCAGTCACGGGGCCAAAACCATGTGTTTGGAGCCACAGTGTGGGCGGTGGAGGCAAGAAACAGCAATGGGAGGCCATACAGCAACCTATAACAAAATGGAAACCACAGGAGTGTGAGGAGACCTCAAAGTGGCACATGGCAGAGTGGGAGCAATGGGAGGCGGTACAGGGACCCATGTCACACTTGTGGACCCAGCAGCAGCGTGACCAGGCGTACGGAGGCCCATGGCAGATTACAGGCCTGGCAGCAGCAATGGGAGGCCCGTAATCTGTCAGCACCCTATGACAAAATGGAACACACCAGCAGTGTGAGGAGACCTGAAAGTGGCACATGGCAGAGTGTGGCGATGGAGACAGCAGCAATGGGAGGCCGTACAGGGACCCATTGAGAGACTCTGGACCTGGCAGCAGCATGAGGAGGCGGTATAGGGGGCCCATGGCAGATTAGGGGCCTGGCAGCAGCTATAGGAGGCCCGTAATCTGCCAGCACCCTATGTCAAAAAATTCAACACACCAGCAGTGTGAGGAGACCTGAAAGTGGCACATGCAGAGTGTGGCGATGGAGACAGCAGCAATGGGAGGCCGTACAGGGACCCATAGACAGACTCTGGACTTGGCAGCAGCATGAGGAGGCGGTATATAGGGGCCCATGGCAGATTAGGGGCCTGGCAGCAGCTATGGGAGGCCCGTAATCTGCCAGCACCCTATGTCAAAAAATTAAACACACCAGCAGTGTGTGAGGAGACCTGAAAGTGGCACATGGCAGAGTGTGGCGATGGAGACAGCAGCAATGGGAGGCCGTACAGGGACCCATGAGGAGACTCTGGACCTGGCAGCAGCATGAGGAGGCGGTATATAGGGGCCCATGGCAGATTAGGGGGCCTGGCAGCAGCTATGGGAGGCCCGTAATCTGCCAGCACCCTATGTCAAAAAATTCAACACACCAGCAGTGTGAGGAGACCTGAAAGTGGCACATGGCAGAGTGTGGCGATGGAGACAGCAGCAATGGGAGGCCGTACAGGGACCCATGACAGACTCTGGACTTGGCAGCAGCATGAGGAGGCGGTATATAGGGGCCCATGGCAGATTAGGGGCCTGGCAGCAGCTATGGGAGGCCCGTAATCTGCCAGCACCCTATGTCAAAAAATTCAACACACCAGCAGTGTTGTGACCTGAAAGGGACCAATGAAAGTGGGCACATGGCAGAGATTTAGGCGATGGAGACAGGAATGGGAGTTTGTAAATCCAGACTAATCCACGCCTGATTCATTTTCACAAACGTGAGGGGCCCATCCAGACTTAGGGGTCCTGGACAGTCGCAGCTATGTGGGAGTTGCAATACCTAATCTGCCGCACCCTTTGTCAAACAAAAATCCGGATGCCACGCTAAACTGGGCCGGGCAAATGAGAGCCTGAAAGGGCAATGCCATCAAGTTGGGGCCAAAGGTCAAGTTTCGTACAGGGACCCAGTTAGTCAAGGGGACTTGTCAGCATGGCATCAGGTGTGGCAGGGTGCTGTCCATTAGGGGCCTAAGCCTGTCTGTTAAGGGGCCCTGGCAGCTCAGCTATGGGTCCACCTGATGCTAATCTGCCAGCACCTGCTATGTCAAAAAATTCAACACACCAGCGCTGTGTGAACCTGAAAGCTGGCTCATCATCGACTGCAGACTGAGGCAGCTGCTGCTGGTGGAGCTGCCACTGCTCCTACCACCCCAGCCCCCTCCCCTGCTGCCATGGCAGGCGTAACGGAGCCAACAGGGCACACAGTGTCTGAGATGGCGTTGGGAGACAGGGTAAGCCACCAGCTGACTATTGAAAACATCATTTTTATAGTACGCAATGTCTTGGCCTCCCTCTCAGCAGTCCTGAAAAAGGCCATCCACTTTGGAAGACGTTAGCGAGGGCTCTATCAAGGGGACAGCACAACTAGGATGACCCTCTGTCGAGATGCTCTGGTCTTCGGCTGATCGCTATCTGCCAGCGATCATGCCCATGGCCAGATTGTCTGCCAAGCAGCATGCGAGGGACTATCCATGCCCTCAATCTCCACACCCATCTGTTTTGGCTGCGCTGTCCCAAGCTGCCACCCTCTTCTCACTGGCCCTACCGTGAAGTGCAATGGCTAGTCCTGATGAGACGCTGTTTCTGCCTGGAGGGCGATCACCTCATACACTCATCAATTAAGTGGTCAGCCGCCTCACTACTGTACGCCCCCTCGGCTCTCTTACAGATTGCGTGGTGCCCCCCCCAGCAGCATTGGGTCAGGAGACAGATTCTGTGTCCCTCTAGACCGGCTATGGAGCCACTTCACTCGTTGAACGACCTTCTGTCCCACACTGGCTGAAGAGGCGGTGTCTCCTAATGGAGACGTTCCTGATCCGCCCTCTGTAACAGCTCTTCCTGCCACTGTACTGCCACCCTCATTGACAATCCGGGAGCACTTTCCCTCTGGATGCTGTAAAATTAGTGCTGCCTCGACAATTCTACCTCTGCTGTACCACCGTTCTGTCGCTCCAATCCAACTTAGCTCTCCTCTGCCACTCCTCTGCATGTTTGTCATGACAGGAAGCAACTTCCATTCTGTGCCCTCGCGGCCCACAAGCTTCTGTGTCCCTGATTACCACTGTTTCTTCACGCACAGGAGCTTAACAGCGGATTCTCGAAAGTGTCCCCCCAGTAACAACCCTCTGTTGTGTCATTGGTGGTCAGTATACAATTCTGGTCCCTCAGTAATCAGTATGTGTCCCTGCAGTAACTTTCTGTGCCTAAGTCCAACATCTGTGGCCCACAGTAACATCATTCTTGTGGCCTCTGACAGATTCATGTTGTCCTAAGCAGTATCTTTCTGTGTTACGTAAACATTCTGTCCTTCCCTGAGTAACAATTCTGTGTCCCTGATCCATCTAACGTAACGTTTCTGTGGCCCTAAGTAACGGTTCTGTGGCCCTCATTGTGTAACAATTCCTGTCTGTCCCCTGAGTAACAATTCTGTGTCCCACTCAGTAGTAATTCTCTGTTTGCCCTCATGTATAACAATTCTGTGTCCCTGTGAGTAACTAATTCTGTGGCAGTGGTGGCGAGTAAAGCAGCACTGTTGCTGGTCCCTGAGGCCGTGTCCCCTAGACACAAAACAACCCTGGTAACGTTTTTCTGTGCCACAAGTAACGTTTCTGTGGCCTCAGGTAAAAATATCGCAGATTCTGTCCCTGGTAACAATTCTGGAAGGTCCCTAATCTAACAGCATTCTGTGTCCCTCAAGTAACATTCTGTGTCTGAACCTGCAGTTAACAATTCTGTGTCCCTGAGTACCACATTCTGTGTTCCCTACAGTAACCAATTCTGACTTCCTGTCCCTGAGTAACAATTCTGTGTCTGGCTGAGTACTATTCTGTGGCCCATGGTAACGATTCTGTGGCCCTCAAGTAGCATTATGTGTCCCCAGTAAAACAATCTGCCAGCACCCTGAGTAACAATTCTGTGGCAGTGTGTGAGGAGACCTGAAAGTGGCACAATGGCAAGTGTGTGGCGAGTAGACAGCAGCAATGTGAGGCCCTACAGGGACCCATGACAGACTCTGTGTCCCTGGCAGCAGCATGAGGATTCTGTATACTAGGTCCCTCATGTAACAGATTCTGGGTCCCTGGCAACAATTTATGTGGAGGCCCGTAATCTGCCAGCACTCATGTCCAAAAAATTCTGTGTCCCTCAGTAACAATCTGTGAGGAGACCTGAAAGTGGCACAATTCTGTGGCCCTACAGTAACAATTTCTGTGGCCGTGACTCAGTAACATTTCTGTCTGGCCCTGAGTAACAATATCTGTGGCCCTAAGTAACAGATTAGGGGCCCTCAGTAGGCCCGTATTCTGTCTGTCCCTGAGTCAACAAACAATCTGTGGTTCACCTAAGTAACGAGTTTACTGAAAAGTGGCCCTGGCAGTGGACAATTCTGTGTCCCGTACTCAGGGACCCATGCAGACTCTGGACTGTGCTCACACATGAGTAACAATTCTGGGGCCCAGTAACAATTCTGTGTCTGTCCCTGAGTAACAATTCTGTGGCCCTGAAGTTCGGTTCTGTGGCCCTCAGTAACAATTCTGTGTCCCTGAGTAGCAGTTTCTGTGAGACATGAAAGTGGCACATTTCTGTGGCCCTCAGTACTACAATTCTGACGAATGTCCCTGAGTAACAATTCTGTGTCTGTCCATGAGGAGTAAAAAGTAACAATTCTGTGGCCCTCAGTAACAGATTCTGTGGCCTGGCAGTAAACATTCTGTGTCCCCCAGTAAAATTCTGTGTCCCTAAGTAATCACACCATCATGTGTGTGTCCCTGAAAGTAACAACAATTCTGTGTCCCAGCAGTAAGGAATTCTGTGGCCCTAAGTAAGTTTCTGTGGCCCTCAGTAACAATTGGGGCTTTCTGTCCCTGAGTAAACAATTCTGTGTCCCCTAAGTAACAGTTCTATGTCCTCTGGGAGTAAAATTCAACACCCTGAGTAACAATTCTGTGTGAGGAGTAACTTTCTGTGGCACTATGTAACAGTTCTGTGGTCCCCCCTCAGTAACAATTCCTTGTCCCTGAGTAACAATTTCTGTGTTCTGTCCCTAAGTAACAATTCTGTGTCCCTCAGTAACAATTCTGTGTCCCTGAGTAACAATTCTGTGGCCCTAAGTAACGATTCTGTGCCCTCAGTAACAATTCTGCCCCTGAAAATCCCTGATGAGTAACAATTCTGGGTCTGTCCCTCAGTAACAATTCTGTGGGGCCCTAAGTAACGGTTCTGTGGCCCTCAGTAACATTCTGTGGCCCTCAGTAACAATTCTGTGTCCCACTAAGTAATTCTGTGGCCCTCAGTGAAACGGTTGTCTCCCCTCAGTAACAATTCTGTGCCCTGAGTTAGCTCTTCTGGCCCTGTAGTGGACGGTTTCTGTGGCCTAGCCTCAGTAACGGTTCTTGGTGGCCCTGAGTAACAATTCTGTGTCCCTGTTTTGGCCTCAGTAACAATTCTGTGTCTGTCCCTGAGTAACAATTCTGTGGCCCTCAGTAACAATTCTGTCCCTCAGTAACAATTCTGTGTCCCTGAGTAACAATTTCTGTGTCCCTGAGTAACAATTCTGTGGCCCTAAGTAACGGATTTCTGTGGCCCTCAGTAACAATTCTGTGTCTGTCCCTGAGTAACAATTCTGTGGCCCTAAGTAACGGTTCTGTGGCCCTCAGTAACAATCTCTGTGTCCCTGAAGTAACAATTCTGTGTCTGTGGCCCTCAGTAACAATTCTGTGTCCCTGAGTAACAATTTCTGTGCCCTCAGTAACGTTTCTGTGGCCCTCAGTAACAATTCTGTGCCCTCAGTGGCCCCAATTCTGTCTGTCCCTCAGTAACAATTCTGTGTCTGTCCCTGAGTAACAATTCTGTGTCTGTCCTAAGTAACGTTCAATTCTGTGGCCCTCTAAGTAACATTCTGTGGTCCCTCAGTAACAATTCTTCTGTGTCCCTGAGTAACAATTCTGTGTTCTGTCCCTGAGTAACAATTCTGTGGTCCCTGAGTA